TAATCTGTATTGCAATATGCAGACTGTGCTTTGTTTTGTCAGCGATTAGTAGGTCAATCTTTAATAGCTAGGAAATGACTTAGAGAAATAATAAGGGAAAGAAATGGGATCAGACAGCAATTATGTTAATTTTTTTCAGCTAATAATTTGTCTTGATTTGTAGTGACATTTATGATGTCTGGGATGGACATCTCCTAACAGCTGGGGACTGGCTAGCTTTGCCTTTGGCCTTTGATTCTCCAAGTAGGTTGCTGCCTGCCACGAAATGGCTGATAAGGCCGGCCATCAGTATTGCCTACACTGTGAATCACTCTTCTGGAGATAACATCTCATCTATAAATATATCACTGAAAGAACTGTATCCAAGTAGCTCCCTAGCCTTACATCTGTGGAAATGGGAGAACCTGCCGTAGGACAACTGGTACTGGCTGTGGTCCCCCTCTCCAGCTTTGCTGGTGTTTGAAGGCGCAGTTTCAATGGTAGAGACATCATGACCTGGGGAGATCTGGCTGTTGTTGTGATGCTGAGTCTCTCCTCCATGTTTCCAGCCAGTGAGTGAAATGTGTTCAGATAACTGGCTGAAAGTACAGCAAATAATGTGAGAACGTGACTTTTCCCATGTATACAGGAGGTGACGTTGCCACAGAAACAAGGCAGAGAAGCAGCTGATGCCAACGTGAAGAACAGTAAGGCTTTTCTACAGCATTCTAAATGCTTCCGGCAAATTGTGCTAACAAATGAGATGAGTGCACAGGTTGTACATGGGGTAAATGAGGTGTCTCAACAATCTGGCTGTGTTATTTTGTGGTTCGTACTCTGAGAAACTTCAAGCAACCCTTTACTCCAGCTTTTTTAAAATTGTCAGGAAAGATAGGAATTAAGGATCCACAGGGGATTGCCTCCAGAAAAACCAGCTGCTATTAATTTTAAGAGTAGAAAATGTCTTTCTGCCGTCCTGCTTTATGACTCCTGTACTTCTTCAAGATACTACAAAAGACAAAATAATCTGATTCTACTAGTTCTCTATCTTTTTAATGCTCATATCCTGTTAAATCATGTAAAGAATTAGGAAGACATATTTATAATGAAATAAAGAACATTCAGACATTTAGACCTAAATTCTTGCTCAGACAAAACTCTAGAAATTATATAGGTTTTGGTGAGACACAGGTATTTTTAATTTATAGTGCTGTTCCCAATTTTGCATCTATTACCTCTTTGTGTTAATCCTTCTGGCCTGGAGACCAGGTTCCTAATCTGAGGAGTTTGCCATTAAGAGAGATCCAAAGTAACCACCCATTTAAATGAAAGATATTTGATTATATCTGCTAGGCTGCTTTTGAATTAAGCTCCCAGTCCTGCAATCTGATTTTTGCAAGTGAGTTTCAGGAGGGTTGGCACTTGAGAAGTATTAAAAAGGAGGATGAGGAATTCAGTTATGTGGATATTTTTTTCTTTTCATCTGCAGACTTTAACAGGTAGATTGAGTATCACCTGTATTTATGGTAACAAATTATTCTGTTTTCTTTTGTCTGTATTTCCTGATGCAGTTAAAGATATATGCTTTTCTATTGAAAGGCCGGAAAAACTGAAGCTTTTACCCCAAATGTAATGGAAATGAGAGCCAATTCATTTTTGAGGTTCAAAAATGTAATTAGTTTTTGTCTTTTGACTATATGGTTTTGTTTTGGATCAAATATGGACTTGTTTTCTCGTATTTCCAACCTACAAGAATGAAAAAAAAATACCTCAAATCTGATGGGAATTCTATTCTCATATTGTAAACCGAAGAGGCTGACTAAACATCATAACATTTGGCTGCTTATTCTGAACAAAATCTCCAAAAATACTGGCATTCCTTTTCCAGGAATACCTTTGGTTAACAGAAATATAAGCTTCTAATTATTTTAAATCAGTATGTGATATATAAAGATCTGCCTAAATCATAAAGAAAATCTTCCTCAATCTCTGCTTAAGGTGAGCATGAAAAAAATGTCATCAGTGTAAAATAATTCCAGATTTATTATTTTTCTGCTGCCCTTCTCAAGCAGTGTATAGTACTTCAGAAATTCTTTAGTGGCATTGATTTTCTTAGAAGAGCTGAGCCTTTGACTATAAATAGCAGCATGATCTATCTTCAGGCAAGTAAAGGGTAGTAGTCATTCGGAGTGGATACTGAAGAGTTCGATATCACCATTTACATTTGAGTACTGCAGCTCTAGGTACTGAAGCAAATGCACTTGCAGTAGTTTAGGTAATCTCTAAAGTACTGTGCCTATAGTAGCTCTTATCTTGAAAAGTGTTTGAATGTCACTCACCTCTGAGTGATTCAGTGCTAGGTATCACTTGATGCCTGAATGATCTCTCTGAATGATAGGGCATAAGAACAGACATAGCATAATTTTTAGACAATTGTCAGGTTGTCCTAGTTTAAAGAGAAAATTTTCTGTTCTCGTTTGATTTCCTGTTGAGTTTGTGGTTTAGTTTGGCAGCTCACAGGGTTCTCATTGAACTGGTTCAACTGTTTACCATCACATCCATCCACCCACATGCAAAATCCCAAGACAATAGAAGTCATGGTTGTAGTAAAAAAAAAAAAAAAAAAAAAAAAAAAAAAACCCCAAAAAAAAAAAAAACCCCCCAACCAACAAACAAAAACCAAACGAAAGAATATCATCTACAGACCTTGTCAATGATATTCTTTCAGGAGCTTGAAAATAAAAAAAAAAAAAAAAACCCAAAAAAAAAAAAAACATGGTTTTAAAAAAAAAAAAAAAAAAAAAAAAAAACAAAAACCCCAAAAGACAACCAACCACCCAACAAACAAAGCAAAACAAAACATGAGAATCAGGGACTCTTATGTGAGAGTCATGACAAAAGTGCAATTTTAATGTTCCCTAGACTGGTGAAAGTAGTAAAAACAATAAATGCAGTGTGGGCAAAATCCTGCTCTTGTTTCAGATTCTCTTTTCACTTACCCAAATCCCTTAAGAGCATGAGAAATATCTGAAGTGCAGCATTGTCCTTTATGTAAATTTAACTGTGACATTAATCACAACGTTTTCATTGTTATTTTTACCATCACCATCTTCCTGCCAGCAAATGAGATGCAATAGTCAAATCCTAAGGTATTTGTTAGTCTTCACTCAAGCAAATTTCAGCTGAAGCCAAAGGAATTTGTCTGGATAAAGACCGGCACTGCATGCTTGCCCCATCAGGAGGTACATAAGTGTGGCCCTCAACATCACACCCATTCTCCAAGGCAAAGGTGTCTGTTTGATAGAAGTATCACTCTTGGTTGCCATCCGGACAATGCAGTGCTCTGAGTTTCCACTCTGGACCAACAGATAGTATCCTGCTAGCTCTGCCAGCACTGGCTTGCATGCAGGATTGGCAGTTACTTATGCACCGGGTAGCTGGAGGGTAAGTCCCTTGTGTGTGATGGAGGGAGGGTGTAATGCCTGCCATGCTGCCATTTGCTCTAGAGGTGGACCCCATGAGCTGACGTATATTAATGCATATAGTTAGCAATTATTGCTGTCATTTTAAAACACACAAAAGACAAGAAATATGAGTGGCATCTTCATGAAACAATGGCAACCAGGAAAATGTGTGTAGTTATTAGCATCATATAGAGTCATAAAATGTTATGATGCAGTGGATCTGCTTCTGTTTGGGCCTTAGAAATCTACAGAGGGATCTGAAGACTTAAGAATACATTGTGAAAGTACATCTGTTCTGTATATGGGGAATAATCTACTTTGTCTCTAATTCTCATTTGTGCATAATGCAGTGGAACTCTTCAAGTGTTTGTTGGACCTATTCGAAAATACCAAGTTGACTCTGAGTGGGGAGAATGCCTCTTTTTCTGTTTCACTGTGAAAAGAGTTGTAAAGGGTCTGAAAACTGGAGTGTCTTGACTTAAAGCCAAGACTGAGCTTTTACTTTGATTTCAGTACATTCTGGATTGGGCCTTTAGAAATGGTTTCTGCCTCTACTACACAGCATTAACGTGGTAGCAATCCTTGAGCACTCTGGCTAGTAAAGACAGAGACAGTTGAGTCCCACTTAGCCACGTTTGCATCATCAGTAAGTATGGTTAATGAAATATTACTAATATCTTCAAGGAGTAAAGGACATGCACTGCTGTGCCATATTTGACACAGGGAAACAATAGCACAATGAGTATATAATGGAGAGACAGAGAGTTGGGCTTGTTTGGTCTGGTGAAGAGAAGGCCAACAGGGGAACTGGCTGTCTTCAACAACCTAATGGTTAGCTATGAAGAAGATGGACCCGTAGTCTTCCTGGCAGTGCACAGTGAAAGAATGAGAGGCAACGAGTGGAAGTTGCAGCAGGGGAAATTCTTACTGGACACAAGGAAAGGATTCTTTACAGTTAGGGTGATCAAACGCTAGAACGGGTTGCCTAAAATAAATGCTTTGGACCAGATGGCCTCCAAAGATTCCATCTGACTTAAATTATTCCGTGATTCTAGATTAAATGACAGCCTCGTTACAGAAAAATAAATATTTGGCAGTGACACAAACAGGGCCATGGCAGTCTTTTAAATCAGAGTTCATACTAGTAAAAGCTGAGGAAAGCAGAACAGATACGACTGTGCCGTGCAGCAGCCCTCAATCTGTCCTGTGATCTGAGAAACTCTTTATTTATACATCTACAAGGCAGCCATCAGCAGAAGCATTCTAGATGCCTCAGGGAGTGCTTTGAAAGTACTCTCGAGTTGCAATGTAGGAAGAGATAGGATACACATCACTATGCTCCTGCTCCAGGGACAAAGAGAGGCCATGGCTCCATTGTGTCAATTTGTCATAGACAAAGACCTCTTCAGAGACCCTGGTGGTTGTTAGCTGTATTCCAGGTGTGGCCTCACCAGTGGTGAGTAGAAAGGAAGGATCACCTCCCTCAACCTGCTGGCAATAAGTTGTCTAATGTTGCTGAGGATACCATTTGCCTTCTTTGCAGCAAGGGCACATTACTGGTTCATGTTCAACTTGGTGTCCACCAGGACCACCAGGTCAGTTTCTGCCAAGCTGCTTTCCAGCTGGGTGGCACCCAGCATAGGGTTGTTTCTCCACAGATGCAGAACTTTGCATTTCTCCATGTTGAACTTCATGAAGTTCCTGTTAGCCCATTTCTCCAGACTGTCAAGGTCCCTCTGAATGGCAGCATAACCCTCTGGCACATCAGCTACTCCTCCTCCTCTTGTGTTATCTGCAAACTTGCTGAGGTTACACTGTGCCCCATCATCCAGATCATCAATGAAGATGTTAAACAGGATGCCACTTTTCAGTTAAACAGATGTTAAACAGTAATGCCACTGTGGTTGTTATCCATAAAAGAGCAACCACCTTTCACCAAATTTATGACACTGTGGTTGCTGAGTTCTGCAGTAATCATCTCAACTTGAATCAGGAAATAAATGTCCTAGATGCCACTATGTGGTTACTGTTGGTTCACTGACATTTAATTAATGACGTTTGTTGTGCTGCTGCTCAGCAGATATTTCAGATTGCGTAGTATATGGTGGATGAGGCAAAGTCTAACTGACATGTTTACTCAGCACAACAGCAGTGTATTGCATCAGCATACTTTGCAAATTGAAATAGGCTTTTTCAAAGCACTCTGTGCTCCAAAAATAATGTGACCCTCCAATTGCAACTCTCAGCGCTGCTCAGTATTGTGGCATTGCTGATATTTGCTAATGATCAGGTGCTGAAGGAAATTTGGAAATGTCACATTGCCAGACTCCAGCTAAATAGCATTTTAAATCTCAGCTCTTCAACACTTAGGCACACAGATCGCTTTGTTCTGGAAATGGACTTCAGTGAAACTGCTCACACTAACAGATAAGCACATGTCAAAGGGTTGGCAAGGACTGGTATTTCCACAGGTAAAGTAGCTGCCCAGGCTAGGCTGACCTTTGACAAAGAGGGCAATCCAGCAAGATTTTGAATTAGGAGTTGAAATTATTCTCTCACCAGCGAACCAGTCTCCTGGGCTCAACCAACAGTCTGCAGTCTCCCCACAGCACAGTTACTGTGGAGCATGTGGGGAGGAGAGGGGGTCTAGGCCAGGACAGCAGGGCACAGAAGAGTCATTTTAACTACTTGTGCTTAATGCTGACCTTGCATGTACTCTATATACAGACCCTGTACTCCCCTTATATATTCTTATAAGTCTTGTAAGACATATAAATGAGAACTTTTACTGAAATCAGTGTAACCTCCCACAGGGTATTTCTTCACTGCGTGCATTTTTATAAGGATAAGGACTGTGCATATTAGATATATGTGAAAGATGAGAGACGTGCGTGAGAAGCTGAAATGCTAAGTGTATTTATTTATGTAAGTTTATATTTAGAGCTTAATGAGCTAATAGTGAAAGAATTTGAAGAATACATACATGTTTTAAGGAGGAATTTGAATCTGCAGACAGCTTGATTGAATTGTGCAATTAGAATAATTTGCACTTACCAGACAGACATTATCCATGATTTATACTTTTTAAATATCTATAGTAGCGTGTTTTGCATGGCTTTAAAAATATTTGCTTTTGTTTTCTTTAATTAAATTAATTTCTTGTAAATATCTCCAGCTATTTGTGATACTTGTGAGTGCTCCCATCAATAAAAGACCTCAAATATGCTGAAAGAAAATGATTTGATTTCCTGAAATACATCAGTTAAACATGCAGCTTAGCTGTTTGAGTGTTCTATCTGCAAAATCAACTAAAAAGCATTCCTCTTGGGACTGGCCACTATTATTATAGCATTATTTGAGATTAGTAAGAGGCTCATGGTGTGTGATTTCCTTTTTATTTTTTTGGTCACTACTGGTTAGGTTAATAAGTAGCTAAAGGGTACGATAGCCCTGTTGAACTGGTGAGGCAAAGCATGCTGCAAGTTCTTACTGGTAGTGATAAGGAGCCATATATTACTGCTGTTAAAACACTTCTTTCTGCTAGAAGAGTTTCTCAGACACCTAATGCTGGAAATAGAACAAATTTTTCTTTTAAAATTGTGATCATGTAGTTGGTGGTTTCCTATACCATTTTTGTAAGCCTAACTTTGTGTCTATGTTGACATGTGTGTACACGGGTCTGTAAGGCATGTTGCTTAATAGTTGAAATTAGATGTTTGGTTCATCCATATGGTCCTACTAATAACTGCCAGGGTGCAGCAAGGGCACTGTCCCACAGGACCTGAGCTAGAAGAGCAGAGCATGTCCTTGATGGTAACCAGAATCACAGAATCATAGAATGCTTTGGGATGGAAGGACCCTTTAAAGGTCATCTAGTCCATCCCCCCTGCAGTTGGCAGGGACATCTACAACTAGATCAGGTTGCTCAGAGCCTCATCCAGCCTGGCCTTGAATATTTCCAAGGATGGGGCATCTACCACCTCTCTGGGCAACCTCTTCCAGTGTCTCACCACCCTTATTGTAAAAAATTTCTTCCTTATACCCAGTCTGAATACCCTCTTTTAGTTTAAAACCATTACCCTTTGTCTTATTGCTACTGGCCCTGCTAAAAAGTCTGTCCCCATTTTTCTTCTAAGCCCCCTTTAAGTACTGAAAAGCCGCAATAAGGTCTCCCCGCAGCCTTCTCTTCTCCAGGCTGAACAACCAGGTTCAGCTGGGGTCCACTACAAGCCAAACAGGTCTATAGAGAGGAGGCAAGTCTGAGGTCAAGCCTAAAAGCTAAGTTGCCGGGTCAGGGTCAGGTTCAGAATTGGAGAGATTTGAGACCAAACACATGTGGACCTGCAACAAGGACCAAGAGTGAGCCTCCGCTTAAATGCATCTCCCAAGAAAAGGGCAGAGCTTCTGCTGAGGCTTCTTCCAGCTTTTTCTCAGAGAGCTCTTTCTTCATAACTGTTTCTAGGCCTGAGAGCTGCTTGTCGAGTTTGGGTCTTAGCCCAAGCAGCCAAACCCCCAGGAGGGAGGGAACGTGCTCAGGGCCCTGACAGTGACTGAGTTTGAGACTTTGGGCCCATCAGCTTGACTGTATTTATCTTGAGTTCAGATTACGTATCAGTTTGATACAACAGCATCAACCTCACACAGATGTTATAAGCCTTAATTCATGCTCATTAAGTACTTTGACATTACTAGATGAAATATGCTTTTTTACTTATTTGGACGTATCATAATTTTTACATGGTGTTATTTCAGCCACTGAGCCAGTAATATGGCACGTATATTTGATTCTTTAAATAGAATTTGAACCCCATCTTTCAGTGTTCCTCATATAAAAGCAATGATTTTGTGTAGCCATGTCTCCTTTTGCAGCATTTGCGGATCATTACGTATGTACTCGTGGGCAGGAGAGACTGAGCTACAGCTGCATTGTTATTATTAAAGAAAAGTACTTTATCTCACTATGAAAAGACCTTATGAGTAACCCAAGTAGTCATACTTTGCCATGTCACAGTAGTTGTACTGCTTTTAAGTCTACATAGTAGTCCAAACCATGGGACACAATTACATATAGCTAAGGAGAACCTCAGACTTGAAAAACTGCTGACTAAAGTCATTGTGAGGATTTATTCTGTTGTCAGCATGCAAAGAATCAGTGCTACAGCAACAATAGGACACAAAATCTTGGGGAAAACTAGCTTGTCACTACAACAATGGGAGAAAAAATCTATCTGTTCCCTTTTCAGTGAGGAAGGATCAAAAAATAGTAATAAATGAAGCCTTTGAACCCTGAGTTGCTTTCTGTGAACAATAGCTTCAGGTTAGTAATGGTGTAACTACCTCACATTTATTTATTGCAATAAATTATCAAAATTCAAAGTCTTCTTTCATGTAAAGTATTTTTTAATTGTATTATTTTTTTATCACAGGTAGAAGAGGCAGCTATTTGTCATCTTTAAAATAATTCCAATAAAAGATGGTTTGCACAGTAAGAGTCTCGCAGGTGATCTGATCGTGGTAGTGGATTATCATCATTCCTTTGGGCAATACTCTAATGAAGAAAGGAATACAGAAATATTGGATACAGTTGTTTTAGGAAATAGTAGGAAGGGACAGCCTCAAAAACACTGACTTGCACAAGTTATTTATGCTTTCAGTTGCAACTTGTACACCCCACTAGTTAATTTTATGCATGTAATATATGTTTGGATGGTTTTGGAAGGGTCTCAGTGCTGGCCAGTCAAAACTGATTCTTCTCCCATGTCTGCTTTTACCCTTGCTGGCTTAAATGGAGGTAATACCAATTTTCAGCCAGGGTAAGAAAGAGGTTATAACAAATCTGAGTGTTTTAGTTTAAATCTTTACCCGTCAGAGTGAAAAAAAAGTTTGCTAATTAAACCTGAAATGGAATTTTCAACTAATGTGGAGGTTCCCCCCCCCCCCCCCCCCCCCTTTTTTTTTTTTTTTTTTTTTTCTCTTTTTAGT